TCTAACAGAAATTCATAAAGATTGTGTATATGATAATATTTTTTTAAATAGTTTAAAATTCGAATAGGTGACATTATTTGAACTATAAGCTTCAGAGAGTGGAGTGTGTTTTACGTTAAATTAATGTCATTAACACATCTGCAGCCCGAATGAATGAACTGTTGAGAGATAGATTTGTTTCCATTATTGAGGAAAATATATGAACTGTTAATGAAGAGTGAGTTTTGTTTGACTGCTATGTTTAAACATGCATAAAACGAGGAAAGGAAGTAACTTTTGTCAAATTTTGTATAACATAATCGATGTATTTTCAGAAAATCGAGATGATAACATTACACTCTCAGATTGACACCAAACATCAACTGTTCTTGCAATTTAAAGACAAAATAATAGAAACATCTGACAAACTATTGTTTTGCTGCCAGTATTGAAACCACGTGAAATAAACCAAAGCTGTTAGATAATTCAGTGTTGAAACACGATCACGAAGAGGCAGATACTATCATAGCAATGCACTGTTTGGATGCAAAATAGCTATGCCTGAATGCAAATTTATGTCAATTCAATTGACTGATGTGTTGTTACTTTAGTCGATACATTTAAAGAGCACGAGACTTCGAAGTTAATTATGCATACTGGAAGAGGAAAGTCTCAGAGAATTATTAATATTGAAGAACTTTATCGAGTATTAGAGTCGATAAAGTCCAAAGCTCTTCTAGGTTTATATGCTTGGTCAGGTGCTGATTTGGGTGAAATATTATCAGGTACTGGGAAAATGGCATGGGTGAAATATTATCAGGTACTGGGAAAATGGCACATCTCCAAAACAGATAGAACCTCTTGTGTAGAGAGAGAAAGAGAAGGTAGGGCCTTCATGACTGCCTTTTCCATATTGTGGAGCTGAGATGGAGAAGGTTGGGCTTAACTGAAATTGAAGAGAACCCCCAAATGAATAAGATACTGCATGAGGGTAGAAAGGACTAATTCAATTTGATGCAAAACCCCACCCAAGCAACCTCCCGAAGAAGTAATCAGGTGTGAGTTACTGACTGGACACAGGAAGAAGTGAGTAGGAGCCAGTCTTCCAAGAAATGGTAAGTCCAAAGACACAGTGAGTGAAGATGACATAAAAAAAAAAGAGCATACCACTCAACAAAACACATACAGAGCTGAAGAAAGACTGAATGGGAGCAACTAGAATTGGAAGACAGAACTCTCGTGGATGAAGAAATGAAAACAACATGACAATGGGGCAATTGTAGTACGAAGTCCCAGGAAAAACCCACCGAAGTGAGAGGTAGGACTCCATGGTGAAGCGAGGTGTCTCCAGATGTGTATACATCCAGGACATATCTATGATGGGTCTCCAATCTCCCATGTTTTAGAGGACAACATATAGACGGGAGTAAAATCCATAATGGATGGGAGCCACCTGTTCAATAGTTCCTTTGTTAGGAGGTCTTGAACAGAGTTAGCAAGATGACTGGATGTAGTATGATCCTGAGGAGGAGGAAGGAAGGAAATATGGGAAGTGGATAGAGAAGAGAGTGAAACTGAAGGCAGAAACCTTGAGATAGGACCCGTAGAATCCTCAGAACTTACCAAATACTGAGCAGAGAAAACATGAAAGACCTAAATCATTGAGTGCGGAAATTAGTTCCATCCACACAAGCTCACATAAACACACCAAATATGGGTATTCCTATTGGGAGTGAGGAATACACACTAAAAACTTACTACAGATCTCCTGGGAAAATGAACAATACCTAACCCAG